ACTATACCGTTTTTACCTAATTTTTTGTTTATAAAGCACGATATTTTACGGTTATTACAAACCGTTTACGGGTTTTTTTACGTTTTTCCCCGGTAACCAGCCGGTTTGGCACGTTAAAACATTTTTTGGACCATTCCTTTGGCTTTTATTATTCTTTTTTTGTAATACCCCCGTCCTTTCCAGGTATTTACCCGCTAAAGTTCGGTATTTTCCTTATTTTGTAAGCTTGCTTCCAATAAATTTGTTTTATACGTTTAAACAATTTTTTTCGTAATATCCCTTTTTAAAATTTACGAATTTTTTAATTTATCGTAATTTATCCATTTAATTAAATATTTTCGTTTTCGCAAAAGCTTTTTATATTTTAGCAAAGCCTTTATTTTGAAGCGATTTTTTTTTTTTTTCGATTTTTGGTTTTTTATTTTTTGGTTTTTTACCGGGCCTTTTTTTAAACGCCCGCAATAAATTTGCCGGGAATACGTTATGTATCCGGTAATTTACCAAAAGCTTTAACCGGAACGCTAAACCGGTTAACCCAACCATTTTTAAAACCTAAAAAGGTTTTAACCATTTATTCGATAGCTTTTTTAACGGCCTTTTTATTTTAATATTCGCCGTATTTAGCAATACCCAATCGCTTACCCCGAAAAGCACCGGGGTCTTGCTTTTATTATAATATTTTTTGTACATATTATTCGCTTTTTTTAATAATTTTTTAGCTTGCTTTTTAATTGCTTCCAAAGCTTTCGCTTTAATTTTTACCGTTGCCGAAAGTTTTTTTTTAACTACCCAAAAGTTATAAAGCTTTTGTAAGTAAAACTTTATTAGCAAAAACGCCGGGGTTTTTTGCGACCCCGAATGCACGCTCGTATTATGCATTTACGCTGCCAAATGCAATAGCAACGCTTAATCGTTTTACCTTTCGTAGCAAAAGCATTAAAAGTAATGCTTTATTGCTTGGTTCGTCCGTTCCGTTTGCCCGTCGATTTAAAGGTGGTATGCTATTAATAGCTTTTTTGCAACCCTTAAATGTTTAGCAAAGGTTATTTAAAACCCGTTTGTAAATAGTTTGTTCCGGTTCGATACAATCCTTTTGGGCGTTCCTAATAGCCCTTAAACGTGTACAAACAAAAAATTCCCCAATCCTTTACTAGTTAATTTCGTAAACGTTGGAATAAAAAAGCTATATTTGGTAAACCGGTCGACCATTACCAATATTGCGTTGCGCTTTTTACCGGCTTTATTTATTAACGTTAAAAACTTTCCAATAAAATCCATCGATAGCTTTTATCCCGGGCGGTTTGGTACGGGCAAAAATATTAGCAGCCCGTAAAGTGTTTATGTTTTCGGCTTTATTTATTGGTATATTTAATACGTTCGTACGTATTTGCGTACGTTTTTAGCCATACCCAGCCATTTAAATTGCCGTTTAAACTTTTTTAAAATTTTGGCCATACCTTTATAACCCCCCGTTAGGCTATCGTATTATTTCCAAAGCATTATTCGCTTAAACAATATTAAATTTAAAACCCAAACTTTTTTTTTGTGCTTAAGCAAATCGTTGCTAATTTTCCAAACGTTAAGCTTGTTTTTCCAAATGCCGTTTTAAACGAAATCGTTTTTTATTTATGCTTTAAAAATGCGCTTTAATATCGTTTTAATATCCTTTTTAGTAATGGTCGTCCTTACGTAAGCTGCTTTTTGAAATTTGGCCAGCAAATCGTTTTGGAATTCTTTTTTTGCTATATTGGCTTTCCCGTTTATTGGTATATTTTGGGAACGTTTTAACAAACCATCCGCGGGGTTCCGGTATTTTGGCTTCCATTTAATCGTAAAATCGTACTTTATTAAGTTTTTAAACCATTTTATTTAGCGCTTTGTTATTTTTTTTTTTATTAGGATATGGGTATAATTTAAATGGTCGGTAATTATTTTAACAATTTTTTGTAAATAGGCTAAGTAATATCGTTACTTTTTGAAAACTTTTACGATTGCTAGCAATTTTAAATTAAGGATTGCATAACGCAATTTTTTTTGTTGCAGCTTTTTTAACATGTAAGTTACCGGGTATTACCGGCCGTTTTATAGCTACAATAGCACCGCCTTTATCGTAAAAGCTAAAGCGTTAATCCGTACGCATAACGGTTTCGAAAGGTTAAAATGCACCAATACCGAAGCTTTCGTAAATAGCAATTTTAATTTGCAAAAAGCCTTTTTCGCAATACTTTTTAAATAAAATACGGTATTTTTGCTAAAAAGGTTTGTTAAAAGCATAGTAATTTTCGCGTAACCTTTTATAAATTTCCGATAATACCCCGTAAAACTTAAAAATATTTGGATGTTTTTAACGCTTTCCGGTATTTTTTATTTTAAAATCGTAATAACTTTATTTGGCAAAATTTCGACCCCAAATTTGGTTATCCTAAACTTTAAAAAATCGATATTATTCGTTTTAAATTCGCATTTAACCGGGCTAACGTAAAGCTTAAACCGTTCGAATCGTTTTAACATTGTTTTTATTGCTTTGCGGTACTTTTTTTGTATTTTCGAAAAAATAAGGATATTGTTTAAATATACAATGCAATTGTTGTTAATTAATTCCCCAAGCGCTATATTAATAAAGCTTTGGAACGTTGTTAGGGCGTTGGCTAAACCGAAAAGCATTATTAAGTACTCGTAATATCCATATTTGCAACGGAAAGCAATTTTTTACTCGTTTTTTTATCGGATCCGTATTTTGTAATAAGCGTTTTTTAAATCCAGTTTAATAAAATACTGGCTTTTAAATACCCGGTTAAATATTTTGTAAATTAGCGGGAATGCTAGCCGGTTTTTCCTGGTAACCTTATTAAAACCCTAATAATCGATACAAAGGCGGAGCTTCCCGTCCTTTTTTAAAACGAACAAAATTTCGGCGCCGGCGGGGCTAATTAAATGCCAAATTTAACCCTTCGCTATAGCTTCGTCGAAATACCCCCGGAAGGTTTTTAATTTCTTTTCGGATAAAGGATAAATGCTTTCGTAAAGCGGCATCGTTTTTTTTTTAATTTAATCGCGTAATTTTAGCTTATATGTTTTAGCAAAAAGTTCAATTTATAAAGCTGCGCATATTTTGCAATTATCCTTTTAATTTATTCCGGGAAAGCTTTTAACTTTCCCCCGGGGTTTTTTGGGGTTTTTGGGCGTGCAACCGTTAGTACGGCTATCGCTTGTTCCGATTGGATTAGCTTTTTAATTATTTCCAACAAAATTATTTTAACCTTTTTAGTAATTACCGGGAACTTTTACTTTATATTCCCAAACCGGATTTTAATATCCTTTTGCTAAAGCTAAAGCATGCCCAACGTAATGTTGTACCCGGCCCGGGGCATTATTACGTAAAACATTACTAATTTTCGGGTTATTCCCTAACTATTCGTTACCCGAATTTTGTATTTTTTTACCTTTAGCATGGGCATGCGTTTTTTGGTATCGAACCACGCCAAATAGCTTTCGTTTGGTACCGGTATTTTTTTTATTTTTATTAAAAAACGGTTATGCAGCAAATTAACGTCGTTCTTATTGTTAACTAGCGCTTTTAACTTTACCCGGCGACCGTTAATTTGTAAATACATTTCGGTTTTTTAGCGCGTCCTGGCCGCCGGGGCGCACTTTTAAACCCCGGTGCTTAAACGGCCAAATAGCGGTATCGAATTAGGTAACGATATTTTGCTTTTTTTAAGGCACGCCGGCCGGATATAACTTAGCTTTTTATACCCGTAACACCGTACTTCGGGCCTTTTTTTTTTCGCCTTTTGTATAATCGCTAAAGCTAACGGGGTTTCCAAATTATCCGTTCGTATTTTGCATGTTGCAGCGATATAATTTAGCTGCCCGCATTTAAAATAAGTAACCGGCTTTTTAAAAGCTAAAACATTTATATCCCCCGGGGTTTTTTTATACGGTCCCGATATTATTTTTGCTTTAAAGGCTTTGGTTTGCAATTCCTTTATAATGCAAGGAAAGCTTTTAAATATTACCCATTTTTGGATTTTAAAGCGAAGCCGGTTAAGGAGTAATATTATCCTTATCCATTTGGGTGCTAATTCGGAAAGGTCGTTTTTTACCAAATCCCAACGAATCCGGAACGTTTCGAACAATTCGTAATTTTTTTATTTAATAGCGGTATTTCCCGCAAATTTTTTAATTGCTAGCTATATTTGCGAATTGGGGTTTTTCGACTTTATTTAAAGCTACCGCAAAAAATCGGTTTAAATAAACGATACCCCGGTATTTAAGTAATGCATTTGCTTGTATTTTGTTTATTGTACCCGCCGACAATGGTCGAAAATGCTAAAAGTTATTTAAATTTTTATACGGTCCTTACCGTAACGTCCCTTTTCGTTTTCGAAAATAAATTTGTAATTGTTAATGTAATGGGCGATATTTTGCCAAATTGCCGATTTTTTAAATATAAAAGGTTTAAAAGTAATTTTGCTTTACGTAAAACCTTTTCGTTGCTTAAAAGTATTTTTTTATTTTCGTTTAAGCTTTTATGCGCATGCTTCAACCTTTTGTTTTGGATTTTTTAAATTAAGCGAGCGCGCTTGCTTTGGGCTTTTAACGCGTTGTTTATTTTTTGCAATTTTTTTACGAAAAGGTTTTCGAAATCGTTGGAAATTTGCGGGGCTTTTTTGGTATTTTGTTCCGGTAGCCCAACGGCCTTTTTTAACGTGCTTAACGTAGCGTCGAACGTTATTATAAACGGTGCAAGGTCGCAAATGCCCTTTTTAAATTTGTTCAATCCCTTCCGGTAATTACTCGGGCTTATTCCCCAAATAAAAAAGGTGTAAAAAAAAACAATATATTAAAAGTTAATCGGTGCAAAAGCGGGTAATTACCGGGTTACGGGCCGGATGCGGTATTTTTTTTGTTAAATTTCCGTAAATTTTTTACCAAAAGTGTTATCGCTAACAAAAATTGTTTTTTTTTTAACTTTTCCTTTTTTCGTGCCCTTTTAAGCACCCGGGGTTGGTTTTTTAAATCTTTCGCGCTTTAAGCGCTTTCGTACAATTTAAGCTTTATTTATTTTAACTTTGCCATTATGCTTTGGCCGCAATACCGGTAATTCGCCG